GTCATTTGATTGATTTCAGCTTATTTCTCTGAAACTTGTTTTTGAGGGCATTGATCTTCATATCTGAGTATGAGGAATACCTCAGCTCTAATTATGAGAACCAATCTCCGCGAACTTGTTTTGCTTATACCCCACCATTTCACTTTTCCTTATACAGTTTTCGTTATTCGTATAGCTATCATACTTCGCCCAGTAAACATTTGAAGATAGACATATCACATTTATTACACATCACAGCTTCAATAATAATTACCTCAGAAACAAAACTAGGTGAAATGTCGAATATAAATTAGCTGAGAGAATAGAGAAAAAAGGACCGTTTAGAATCTGAACAGCATCTCTGGCAACTCGTCAAGAAGACGCAAAATCGCAGCAAAGGCACCGAGGTTAAGGCCACACAATACGCAAAAAGCCACTCAATTTACCGCATACGTAGTGCAAGCATATTTGCAATGAAAATTAGTGAAATAATTAAAACATAACAATTCAAATAACAAATGCAAGCATTAACAAGAGTAAGAAAATCACCTTGAACAGATCATTACGTTGAAAATAAAGTTCTTCTTTGCACTTAGTTACCTGCAACATGCTAATACTCTAAAGTACTGTTCAGCGTCAAAGAAAGCATACATGTCAAGAAAGCGGCAGTAGAAATTCTGCCCTCGTCAACCAAATTATAACAACAACTTCTCTAGTTATCACCTTTGTTAATTTCTAATGGCTAAACTGTACACAATCCGCTTGCTTAAGCTCATACTAGGAATATCTGGAAACAATCGGTTACTTCATAGCATCGATATGTTCGGATAAGTCAATAAATAAGTCGTCTAATTATGCCGTAATTAAGTTTAGATGAAACCGAGATAATAAAAACCCTGAATTTGTTAACCATTTAGATAGCGAAGCTACCAAGACATCAAACGGAGCAAAAAATCCTCATATGTCAAATTTGCCGCATATTTTTTGCCGAAATCCACAATGGCTTGTTTCCTCTTGGTATGTGTGAACTGATAGCTGAAATTTGAGTTTTATTGTAGAGAGGAAATTTAGGAGAAAGTAGCCATATCAAAGCGTAGTACCACAGAAAAAAGATATAGCTCACTTTTCTATCTCCGCTACGTTACGTCTGACAATATTCAAAATCGTTAGACGTACAAAAGATGGGAGTGACCCTATGCAGACCACCATAGAATCACAAAGTGGTCCAACTTCGCCGAACCTCAAAAGAAAATGATTCAAGTGAAGAGGTAAAATTCGAATCAATAAAGAAGTGAGCGCACCTGTTCACTGATCCTCTAGTTCGTATGTGCACCAGTCCTGGTTCTACCTGATGGATGAATATCACAAGATGTGCAGGACGTTCTACGCCTGAGATAGCTGGCTTTTCACCTCCATCATCGCAAGCGCTAAGGAGCTCATCTAAAGATATCTGCTAATTTAAAGATAACAACTTCGAAAATGGGTCTAAAAATCAATTGTTTCAAAGCTCGAGAGATTGGAGATAAAACTTTAAGAATGACGGGATATGCATGAATATGTATAGATGAAATCAAATGCTTACCAACGGGAAAATGCAGCATGTCCTCGGCTCTTTCTAACCAAACCAACATTACTCGCAGATCTGCACTTCTTCTTGAAGGTGGCGCGTTACCCATGCTCGAACCACCTCCACCATAGGAAAGCAAGCCATCACGTTCACTTCCTGTAGTCGATCCAGTGCCTCTTTTACGTCCAACTTCGAGAAATACATCAGAATGTCTAGGAATTCATTCTTTCATACCAAGAATCAAAGAAAAGCAAGAATAGAAAATAGGGATTACTTACGATGGCGAATCAGTTTTCGCTTCATCAGAAGAAACTGACATAGCGGAAGTTGTTTTGCTTGAACCACCTGAATAGTCGCAATGCTTAGAAAAAATACTCAAGCAGCTTTTTTGCAAGAACAGTTTATACTAAAAAGGAAAAATTGAAAGAAATTACGTCTGGAACTGGTTGCCGGTGATGCCAAGTCTTGTTTGAACACTCTTAGGCTACGCTCAGTTGGAAGAACAAATGCTAGTTCACATCCTGACCCTGCCCACCAAAGGGCATGCGTCACTCCATCTATGATGTAATGATCGACAGCGTCAGATTCTTCCAATGGCTCTGCAAAGGTCTTTCTCAAAACTTCAGATAATCGTCAGTTTGGAATAATGACACATAATCAGCCATATTTGTGAAAAAAAATGCAATCATAAGAACTAAAAAATTTGTAGGTGTTCGAGACAGAAATTCGAGTACAAAAAACAGTAAGAAAAAATTAAGTAACCGTTCGGATGCCAAGGGCACGCTATACCATTAGAACTTCATGTTAATAAAAACTAGGATGAAAATATTTGAAGCAGCTGAACTCACTCCGCTCACTACTGAAAGCCGTTGACCAGTGGCCAGTCCAAGAGTCATGTAGGCCAATTTCAACACCTTCACCAAGCTCAGACAAGAATCCACAGAATTCTGGTCTCGTATTATGTACATTGAGCTGAAACGTTAGTTTTCTTTATTTGGTTGAATATAATAATGAATTTATAACTGGTTATACTAATTTTAGCTATCATCTGAGCTTTTAGATCTGCACAAAAGTAGCTACGATAATCTTAGGTTTTGCTAGAAGGAACACTAAGGATAGAGAAATTCGAGACTCCATGAGAAGAGAGTAGCACGCCCGAAAATATTTTACCGCATTATCCAGAATATCCACAGCAGATCGCTGGCCCTCTTTCACGTAGAATATATATGTCGTGTGTAGTGCTCGTGCAGGGCAACTATCGACGACTTCATGTAGATCGCGATAGAAGTCAGAGCTGTAAGAGAGGAAAAGATAATTACGAGATACCTTTCATGACATGCAAAAATTTATAGGAGTTTTTAAGCAGTCAACCGACCTTTGACCACTATCCAAACATACAATATCCTTTCCGAAAGAGTCTCTGTCCACAAGACCCA